GGGCAGGCAAGGCCACATTGATGCCAAACAGGGACACAGTTTTCCCTAGGTTTGGGAGACCAAAAGTTTGAATCGTGTGTGTGTGTGTGTGCACACACTTAAGACTTCTCACATGCTTAATGCCGTAAGGTTTCCATTAGAGCTTTGACAGGAAAACTGATTTTCACTAATAGTGGTTGAAGCTATAAAAAACAGGATTATCAAGGGCACAAAGAGCTCTGGCTGCAAGTCCCTCCCATTTAAAATAATCATGCACCGCACCCCTCTTCAGGACCAAAACGTCCTAATTTATTTAACCATCCTCTTTCTGCCATCCTGTATGAAACCCTGAGGAACAGAAGCCTCAGTGCTGTAGAAGTATCCTGCCCATCAAGCGGCTTTTTCAGAGGTTGCTGCTGCTGTTGGGAGGGGCAAATCCGGCCCACTTCTGGGCCCCCAGCCCAGATGCTTCAAGATCAGTTCCTCTGCTCTGGGATCAAACCCGCTGCTTCTTACTCTCCTGGGACTCCTGTCCTGCTCCACGGAAGTCGCGTTCTGTCATTTCCTGCCTAATTTCTCAGCAGTGTATTTGGGGTTAATAAGATGCTGGGTGCTGCATAATTGAAGGAAATGGGTACAATTCTGTCCCCACAAGCTGTTTCTGGTCTTGCTGTCCTGCGGTTTGGTGATGAAATGCTCCGTGGATCCACTGCATTGTTTGGTAATAAATAACAGCAGCAAGCTTCATCTGCCCTAAAACATGAATGGTGCATTTGGGAGATGAACATTTGCAAGGGTTTATCTCATCGCCATAGTTCTCTACCCCCACGGGGGAGGGTGGAAAATGGACGTGTCCCCCCGCCAACCTGTGCATGTGAACACCAACCCCAATTTGTTCTGGGGGGAAAAAATTGCAAAGGAATAAAATGGGGGAGGCGGTGAAAAACTCGCAGCCTGTTCGATGCCAGCTGGAAGTATAGCAAAAATGCCTATTGCACAAAATGGCAACTTTGAAGGCAAGCTGAGTGACTGGGAAAAGCGGGTGGCTTGTGTCCTGTGAACCCCGCCAGCGTGTGGCAAGAGTGCAGCACAAGCACAGCTGTAAGGAGGACACCCAAAGGCACACACGCCCCCCCCCGCGTGCCATTCTTTGTTTTTCTTGTTCCTGAATTCATTCTGTCGCCTGTGATAAAGGGGACGCCCCTTCCCTAACTGGAGCGGAAGGGTCTGGGGTCCTCCCATCTCCTAAGAGGGTGCAGGAGGATGAATCCCTAAGAGAGCAAACGCTGTCGGCGGGTGGATTGCCCCCCTCCCCTTACGGTACTCTCTTGCGCCAGTTTGTCTCATGGTAGGTAGGCCTGGCAAACAGCTGGCTTGGATGCGAATAACTGCTTCCATCGGCACGTTGCAAGAAAGATCCTGCGCTTGTGGAAGCATTCAGGGAAGAACAACAGACAGGAAAAGAATTTCTAGGACGAAAGGCAGAAGAGTGACTTCATTCACGGAGCTGAACCTCCCATAATTAATCTGCCTCACACTGGTGGGAATGACCACCGCAGTTCTCCCCAGCCTTCCCATTTCAGCCTTCCAACTTTCCCAGGGATTGGGACACATCAGGATACTGGCACATCCAACTCTCTTCCTGCATCTGTGGCCACCTCCATCACTTGAGCTCTCCATCAGCCTGCGAAGGGTTACTTTTTCGAGACGAATCTTTCCATAAAGAACAACACCCTCCAGATTACAGAAAAACAGACTGCCTAAGAAGGCCTATTATTCTGCTTTTTTGCACTTCTTCTAAATGAGCTGTGTTTTAACATTTGCTTTTACCGTGATCAGGTTTGTTTTAAGTGTCCTCTTGTAAATGGCTCTGTCAGAAGGACAATAAAAACAATGGCCACAATTAGTAATACCTAACAATAGTCCGTGATCAACAGTTAAAGTAATTCTAAAGGAGAACCGTTATTCAGATAACCCCAAAGATGGGGCATACAAGGAAAGGTGGTTTAAGGTGCGCAGAACAGAATTGCCAACGGAATGAAAAACTTGTTGACCCAGATGAAACTCTGTTTACATCCCCGGGACTCAGCTCCTCAGCAGATTTTGATTTCCACTTCGGTTTACTTGAATAATTTAAGTTAGAGATCATTAGGACAAATTGCTAGAAAGCAGGGGATCTCAAGGTGGGGGGGGCGGGTCAAAAAAGTCAATACGGTGGCCACCAAAGCCCCATCCCTTTCTGATGTGCCCAGCAAGCTCCCCGTCTCGCCAACCTTTGCAGTGACCAAACCAGCTGCCCTTCTCCCGGACACTTTTCTCTCTGGCACAAGCGGAGGAGATATGCAGGCGGGCTGTTTCCCAGATCATTTTTAATGCCGTTATAAACCCAGCAAAAGAAAGCAAAAAAAATGGAGGGGGTGGAGGCAGGATTAGCGCATGGACCGCCTGAAAAAGAGATGGGAAGAGGTCTCCGCTGCTGCCGAGACGGACTGACACAGCCAAATTATTATCCTGCCCGCCCAGAGCAACGTGGGACTGGCCCCCAAATGGTTCGCTGTCTGCAAAAAAGGAAGAGATGCCTTAAAAAAACGCCGCCCCCGCCGCCCCCCTCCCGGAACGGTCACCTCCGAGGATCAACAGAGCCCGATGATTCACAGCTCCAACCAGAAGGACTTTTCATTTTCTTCGGCATTATAAATAGGATTGAGTGTACTTGGAGACATTTCCGGCGTCTGGCAGAGCCTCCCGCCCCAGAGACCTGGGTCAAACGCGGTGCCAATTCTTTCCCGCATTGATGGCTCAGAAAAACTCGCCCCAG